AAAAAAAAAAAACTCCGCCCTGGCGACAGGAAAGGTACCTGGCCAGTAAAACACTCAGCTCCGTTCTGTTGTCCAGACTGCACCCCGCAAGGGATTATGGGGTCGTTAAGAGGATGACAACGGGGGTGGGATTCTACCTGGTCGAGTCTGTGGCACTTTGGGGAACTGGCAAATCGCGGGCCCTGGCCGGACTGGCCTTGCCCACTTCCTCCTTACCTGGCATGTTGCACCATCCAACTTGCCTGTTAAGTTGCTATTTTTCCTTCCCCCCCACCCGCCCCCCGACCAGGAAGCAGGAAACGGTTGGATTTCTTGCTTTCTTGCTCATCTCAAAGCAGAGCTGAGCCTGAAGCTTCTATTATTCAGTGCAGACTCAGGCAGCAGATGGCAGAAAAATAGATTTCTGAATAAATCTGTGATTCTGCAAGCAACTCAATCTGCCTGCCTGCTTTGCCTGGTTTTGGGTAAAAGTTGCTCTTTTTTTAAAAAAAAAAAATTCAATCTTTACATAAATATGTACAATATTTACATACAAGCCACCCCCAGCCAGTCACGTGACCACCAAGCTACACCTACAAATTAGGCCACGCCCATGGTTGTTACAAAATTTGAATCCTACCCCTGCCCTCACCCCCAATGGCGTCCCCAATTTCCCTTGTTTGTTGAGCGAGTTTGGGGGGCCCCGTTTGAAACGGCCTTCTTCGCCACGGTCATAAAAAATGAAGCCCCGCACTCGTTTGACTGACTCAAAAAAAAAAAAACCTGGGGTTTTGGGGGTTTTTTTGGCTAGGTCACCATCGTGACCAACGAGACGCTGGCAGTAGGAGCGGAGGGCATGGACCCCCAAGGACAGGGGGACATGGAGAAGGCCGACATGGTGGATGGTGAGTAGGGGGTGCGGGCTTCCGGGAGCTCTTTCGTTTCCCCCTTTTACAATCCTTCACAGATATGAACAGAGGGTACCTTTGAGGTCATCTAATCCAACCCCCCCAAGCAGGAGACCCTACACCATTTCTGGAAGGAAGGAAGGAAGGAATAAGTTGGAAGGGACCTTGGAGGCCATCTAGTCCAACCCCCCCCAAGCAGGAGACCCTACACCATTTCTGGAAGGAAAGAAGGAAGGAAGGAAGGAAGGAATAAGTTGGAAGGGACCTTGGATGTCATCTAGTCCAACCCCTTCCTGCCCAAGCAGAAGACCCTACAGCCATTTCTGAAAGAAAGGAAGAAATTAGAGAAAGGGAGGAAGAAAAGAGAGAGAGAGAGAAAGAAAAAGAAAGAACGGAACAACAGAGTTAGAAGGGACCTTATTGGTCATCTAGTCCAACCCCCTCCTGCCCAAACAGGACACCCTACCCCGTTCCTGGCCAATGGCAGTCCAACTTGAAAGCCTCCAAGGACGAAGCTCCCACAACGTCCAAAGGCGGCCTCCGTCCCAGGGGTTGACCGTTGTTTTCTCACTCCTTGGCTTCGAAACAAACTCAAAGTGTGTTGCTTGCGGGTCCCACCGCCGTCTTGGCGGTTTTGTCATTTTGGGGGGAGGGAGCATTTCCTCTGGGTTTTTTTTTTTTTTTTGAGGGGGGGTGTCTTCTCTAAACGAGGTGGCCTTCGCCTCTTTTGGGGTCCTTGAGCCTCACCGAAGCCTTCTCCCCGCCAGGCATCAAGGAGAGTGTTTGCTGGAGCCCCCCCGTGGACATGAACCCCACCAAGATCTGCGAGTATCACTCCCTCTGCGCCCGCTTCAAGGATCTGCTACTCTTGCCAGGTGACAGCTTCCCGGCTCCGCGGGGAAAGAACTCGTGGACTCCGACTCCCAGAATTCCCCCATTCAGCTTCTCTAGGACTTCCACTCTCTCTGCCTGCTTCCTCTCTTGTCATCCCTTCCTCTGCAATCGCTCCGCTCTAGGGAGGAGGAGGGAAAAAACAACAACAGGGATGGTTGAATGGGGGATTCTGGGAGTTGAAGTCCACAAGTCTTAAATAAGGAGTCCCCAACCTTGGCAATTTAAAGTTGCAAAGGTTGGAGACCCCTGATTTAATACCTGTGAACTCCGACTCCCAGAATTCCCCAGCCGGCGTCACTAAGACTTCAACTCTCTCTGCCTGCTTTCTCTCTTGTCATCCCTTCCTCTGCGATCCGCCTGCTTCCTCTCTTGTCATCCCTTCCTCTGCAAGCTGCCTGCTTGCTCTCTTGTCATCCCTTCCTCTGACTTCTGCCCTCTTACTCTCTTGTCATCCCTTCCTCTGCAATCTGCCAGCTTTCTCTCTTGTCATCCCTTCCTCTGCGATCCTCCTGCTTCCTCTCTTGTCATCCCTTCCTCTGCAAGCTGCCTGCTTGCTCTCTTGTCATCCCTTTCTCTGACTTCTGCCCTCTTACTCTCTTGTCATCCCTTTCTCTGCAGGCTGCCTGCTTTCTCTCTTCTCATCCCTTCCTCTGCAATCTGCCCACTTTTTCTTGTCATCCCTTCCTCTGACTTCTGCCCTCTTACTCTCTTGTCATCCCTTTCTCTGCAATCTGCCTGCTTTCTCTCTTGTCATCCCTTCCTCTGCAATCTGCCCACTTTTTCTTGTCATCCCTTCCTCTGACTTCTGCCCTCTTACTCTCTTGTCATCCCTTCCTCTGCAATCTGCCCACTTTTTCTTGTCATCCCTTCCTCTGACTTCTGCCCTCTTACTCTGTCATCCCTTCCTCTGCAATCTCTCTGCTCTAGGGCAGAAGTCTCCAACCTTGGCAACTTTAAGCCTGGCGGACTCCCAACTCCCAGAATTCCCCAGCCAGCTCTGCTAAGACTTCAACTCTGTATGCCTGCTTACTCTCGTGTAATCCCTTCCTCTGCAATCACTCCACTCTAGGGAGCAGGAGGGAAAAACAACAACAGGCATGGTTGAATGGGGGATTCTGGGAGTCTAAGTCCAAGAGTCTTAAAAGTTGCCAAAGTTAGAGACCTCTGCCCTAGAGCGGAGAGATTGCAGAGGAAGGGATGACAAGAGAGGAAGCAGGCAGAGAGAGTTGAAGTCTTAGCGAAGCTGGCTGGGGGAATTCTGGGAGTTGGAGTCCTCCAGTCTTAAAGGGGCCGAGGTTGGAGACCCCTGATATAAATTAAATCTTCTCCTGGTTACACCGGAACAAGGAGGCAGGGGCTCTATCTGGGGGGACCCAGGAGAAGCGCCTTTTCCATGGTGGTTGTCCCTCCCTGGGGAAGCCCAGCCCTGAGGAGGTCAGATTGCCTCCCCCCCACCCCCCCACTTTGACAGTCTCTTGAAAGGCCCCAAAGACACAATTTTGCCAAAGCGCCTGGAGGCCCCAAGCAGGTTACGGAGCCCATGGAAGAGCTGGTTTGATTGATGCCGGGGGCGGGGGGATTCATTGGGGGGTTTTTAATCTGAGGTTTTACCTCAACACCAAGGCAGTTCGTTAGGCAGCCGTATCCATTTTCTAAATAGATGTATATTGGGGGTGGGGTGGGGGAATGGATGGATAGGATAGATCTTTTCTTGAGATGACAGACAGACAGATATACTTTTTCTTTAGATAGATAGATAGATGCATAAATAGATAGATAGATAGATAGATAGATAGATAGATAGATAGATAGATAGATAGATAGATAGATGCATAGATAGATAGATAGATAGATAGATAGATAGATAGATAGATAGATAGATAGATAGATAGATAGATAGATGAAAGATGAT